ACAATGAATAATACTATAGTAGAAAATTATGGCCAAAAATACTGTAGTTTTAACCACAAGATCATTGGGGCATTATTATACAACATTAGGTGTTTTTCACAAAACTAGTTCCCATCCCCAAACAATAGACACTACATGCATTTGAATGACATTTTAGGAACAGTAAATATTCTTTTAAATACTGCAAGTTAAAAATTTTTTCTGACAAAACTCCCTAAATACATAGGTCTAGTAAGGGTTTCCAGCAGGATGATGGGTGAGGAATCCAGCAAGGAGTTACATTTAGAGAGTTCTCTGAGGAAAAGAAATCCACCAAAAATGTGTTTCAGTCAAATTAACCTGGACAAAGTTACATAGTATTATTCCAGCATTCTTTCCTGAACTTAAAAATGCTCTACTGACCAATACCTTCCTGTTTTTTCTGTCTACCAAAAGCTTATATAAAAGTCAGAATTTCTTTATCCAAGACCTGATTTTACCCAATAGATGTTTTCATAACATGTAAATGTCATTTCCTATTGGGTTGGAATCATATGGGGAAATGCAGAACACGGGATAGATAAGGAAGGCAAGGAGGAAATTAATATTTGAGCACCTACTATGTGCTAGGTGTGTATTCACACTTTGAACGTATGATTCTAGAGGTGAGAGTGTTATTGAAAGGATAGTGATCGTTCGGAAGACAGCAGGAAATGGCTATTCTGTGAGAAAAACAAATGACAAGTTTAGACTGTGTACTAAGTTATCTACTAAACAGCAGGTGTCTGGCTCCAAAAATGTCTAGCTAATCATATACAACTAAGCCATTTCTTTTGCTAATTTGATGGAACCAAAATGAAATCCCAAAGACACAGTTACCAGGACAGATCTATTAATGCTACATATGCTGGAAATATGTAGAGCTAGATAAACATTCAATATTACTAGTTTTATTTTTGTGTGTGTTTCTAACCAAAGATATATCTTTGGAAGAAAATATTAATGTATACCAAACACACCTTATTTGCATCCACTGAGATGTTGATTACTAATTAAGTGGTTTTAAACCCTTATTTAATTTGAAAAGAGCAGCAATATACATTACAATATTTGGGTACACTTTATTTTTGTATGGGTTAACATTCTGCTATATTTCATTTCATTCATTTTGAGAAACTTAAAACAAAGGGAAATCAAGGGTAATCAGTAGGTGATTTGAGGGAAATTTCCAACCAATATGTGAGTCTTGCAGTATTTCATTATATAGCCCTTTCTTCCCATTATTTATTTATTTATTCATTTATTTATTTATTTTTGCAAATAAGTCATTTTGACCCAAATCCAGCATAGCTTTTCACCAATTCCTAACTTAAGACAACTAAAATTTACAATCATGTGGCAGTATAAATTTTAAAATTACAGTTCATACACTTTGACAATCAAGATAGTGTGAAGCACAAAAAAGTAAATTGTCCTTTAGCTGAATTACCTTTTTAAAATAGGTCTGCTAGTTAATCTATCAAAAAAAAACAAACAAGTTTCACATGTTCTTCAAATTCCTTTTGTAGTTGTCATCTGCTAGTAAACAACATACGCAGGTTCCCAAGATTTTTTTTTCCAGTCTATTCATGACATTCAACAGAGCTCTTTATATGGAAATGTTAAAAACAAAAACTTCTAGGAGATTTATTTACTTTTGAATGGGTGTGTTATTTCCCTTTGTTTCAGATATGAGGCACAAACTTCTGAATTTAAGCTCTGTAAGGCATACTAGAAACTTCCAATTTACAAATAAGGAATTCTCTGGGGTTTGGAACTGCCATGTCATGCAAAAAGGGAAAAATCATCCGTAAACTGGTACACTGCAATGTGTTAAGTGAGTCATGAAATGGCTGCTTGCCTTGGTGTGCTGAAGAAAGGTTTCTGTGTTTTATGTTTTTGTTTTTGAATAAGACATGCCCAAGTCACCATAAAACTCACCACAGGCCTCCATTACCTAAGCATCAACAATAGGAGGCCAGTGGCACTCCTTATAACGCTTGCAATCACAATATAATCTAAAGCATGAGTAAACTTTGTTTTTATACAAAACTGAAAAGAATCCCATCCCGCCCCTAGCCCCTTCAATAAAACCCCAAAGAAACAAAAAAGAAAATCCTTTAGTTTCGATTGACTAGTGTGGCTAAAATTAGGTTTCTATGCATTACTGCTGCTAGGGTGATCAATTTTTTCCTTTCTCAAGAGAAGGGATCTTGTCATGCACCCTTCAGGAACAGTGAAGCCACAAACCTCAATTCTACATAGCAAATTCCATCCCAATTTCATAAAGACAAATATAACAATCTTTCCCTGTTTTGCTCAGCTTCTTCAAACTTTGAGATCAGGTTTAATTGACTATATCTACTATGGCTCTATTAAATAGAATATCTTGATTCCCTAAATCTGTGACACTTATGATCTTGTGATGAGGTTTTCTCTATACACACTGTAGGCCTTCAGATGTTGTTGTTTACTTTTTTCTTTTTTTCCTGCAGCAAATTTAAGAACTCCTTTTCAGGCAAGCAGTGGTCTCTAGCTGTTGAAACACGTCCTTAGTGGATCACAATAGTTCTAAAACTGCCTTTCTAGTAAAGGCCATCAGAGAGGTAATACTAAATTGTGCATTTGCCAAATAAGAATATGAATTGTATAAAAGCTCATATTCCATTTCTAGATCAAACGGCGAAAGTTCTACAAAGTTGGTTTCCATGTTTGTATAAAAGCTCCGACTGATTTTATGTATTTTGCTATGAAATTACCTTTGGGTCTTATAATCAGTATACCTCTACTCAGGAATGTGCAAGCGATTTTCCCTAGTCAGAAATAAACTGACAAATTCACATTCTCCTCTCTTAAAAAAGTAAATAAAATAACATTATTCAAAATGTGAATTAGCTATAGACATATAATATAATTACATAGATACATATCAATACAGCACATTCAATCTGTCAAAAAATTAATGATTACAAAGCCAGTATGGATGCTGCAATACCAAGAGAGATGTATGTACAATGATTAGAACATTTGTAATGCACTATACCTACAGGCAGTCAGTTTGTTAAATTACAGGTGTTTTCTGAACAAGGGAAAAAAAAAGTAACCTGTGTTGTTTGAGGCTGGGAGAATAAAGAATGAGAACATTTCATTACTGTTTGGTGGCTTTGGTACTCATCTAACAGGCCATTAATATTCTCCTTCCCCCTTTATTGTTCCAAAAAAGTGATTTATATAGAAGTTTAGACTAGTGCCAAATACTACTACAGTTAAAATGAGACCAGTTATCATGGCCTAAATCTAAGGTCCCAGCAGCTTTAAACAACCATGATTTATTTTCTTAAATCAAATTTCACCTCAAGCTGCTTGACAGAAGCTCATCAATACATGTGCTGTATTTCTTTGCATTTGTTGACAAATTGCACATATAGAATTCCAAACATTTCTCCTAGTAAGTTCAGTTACACAAATACATGTTCTATAGAACACCGAGAAGTTACTTTTGAGTTAAGTCCACAAATCTTCCGTAAGTTCAACCTAATCAGTTACCAGTTCAAGAAGATCTTGAAGGTAGTAAACTAGCAGGGACTTCAGATTTTGGAAATTAAAGGTGTCAGAATAATACTGTCAACCAATGTTCCTGGCAGACTTAATTGAATTTAAAGAACCATTGAGAGTAAAACTGGTTTCAAATAAAGAGACACAAACAGATTTCCTGTTAAACCACACAGGATACTTTTTACATTGCCGGTTTGGACACTGAACATGGGACAGGGACACTAACCATGTCATCTTAAGGACAAAGAAAAGAATGGACCATGAGAATCAAATTTACAGTTACCAACTGTTTGGCAATTGGCATTTCTGGTTCATTCTCAGCCAGTCATTTTAGGCTCCACAGTCTTACTCTCTTAAATTTTAAGATACCAGCTTTTATTTTTTAAGTTCTTATTCATGCCAGCTTTGGCAACACATACCCATAATAAAAGTCATTTTAAAATTGTGGCACAAACACCAAGGAAAAAAAAGAAAAGAAAAGCTTGAACAACAACAACAAAAATATTAAGAACAACCTATAAAAAGTTTCTGGGTAGCAGCCATTAGGGTAATATAGTGTCTGTTGGCATCTTTTTTGGCATCTGCAATTGAAAGAGAGGGTGAAAAAAAGAAAGAGAAGCAAAGAAGGGAGGAAAGACAATGGCACATGGCATTTCAAAAGAAAGGACTCCTGTGTGTCTTTGATCCTGCCTTCTGCACACTTCTCTGAGCAATCAAGCTATGGCTGAATGTAAACATCTAAAAGAAATGACACTTAACGGCTAGACAGACATCCATTGTCTCAGTCCAAAGTGAGACAAGACAGTATACTCTATTAAAAAAGAAACTATGTGTGTATCCAGAGCAACACATTTAAAACCATAGTATTAATACATATAATCCTTCAGCAAAAACTACAAACTTAGCTTAAGCTGATGATGGCTTAAATCGAACGATGTGTCCTGACTGTATCAGTGGGGAGAAAAACTTGACCAAGAATAGATCTAGGAGAAAGCCCATTGTAACCTGGGGAAAAAATCAGGAGGGAGGTATGAATTGGGGGGCGGGGAAAAAGGGAAATCAGCTTTGTTTTGCTCTATAGAAAAGAAAAAGAGAGAAAGAGAGAGAGAGAGAGAGAGAGAGAGAGAGAAAGCCTTATCATTGTGAGTGCATGACTGAGAATTTAAAATACATTGAGTCACAAGGTTTTGCCTAAAAAAAAGACAGAGAGGAAATGTGCTGGGACTGTACTTCAGCATCCTCTGTATTTCCTCTGAATAGTTTAAATAAAATCATAATATTTACCATAAACTCTGTGGACATGCTCACACAGAGTCCAGGAAAGCAATAAGTTAGTATTATGCAAATTGTTTTCCACAGAAACACAGTCCTTCTATATCTTCAATAGCCCACCAGGGAAGGGCAGGGCGTGTGTCTAGGAGGCACAATTAGACCAGATTGTACTACTTCAGGTTCAACTGGAGGATGATGTCCTTGACGGCAGCAAAGACAAAGCGGATATTCTCGGTGTCTGTGGTGCATGTGAAGCGGGAGTAGATAATTTTGTCACTGTCTGGGTTCAGGTCCATGAACATCTTCAGAAGGAATTCCAGGGCTGCCTGGGCATCTCTCTGGGGTCCATCATATTCTGGGAAGTAGTCGACTAGATGGGAATACATGATTTCCTCCTCTAGAAGATCTTTCATGTTTAAGAACAGAATAACCGAGGAGTTCTGGAACCAGGGATATGTGATAATTGTTCTAAAGAGAGCCTTCCTTTCCTCCATTCTGTTCTCATTGTCTGACTCCACGAGAACTCGATCATATTCACTAAGCGCTACTAGAAACATGATAGAGGTGACATTCTCAAAGCAGTATATCCATTATCTTCTCTCTGACTTTGGGTCCCCTACATCAACCATTCTGAAAATGACCCTTTGTAAATCAAAGGGTTATTCGATGATCCCTGCGGTGGGGACTCGAACTCTAAGCACATCTTCTCGCGTAGGCTGGTAGGCAGGGTCAGCTACGCGTCCAAGTCATTGAGATAGTATTTGGTAGAGTCAGATAATTGATATTCTCGTCTATCATAGCATTCCTGGATTCCAGGATAATTACATAAACTATCGCATCTACATATGGATTCTCAAAAGCAGACACTTTCTCCACATCAACTTCTCGAACTAATTGTGCATGAGCCTTATCGTGCTCATACTTGTACTGGATCTTGAGTGTGTCCATGGCTCTGATCATGGCCTGCATGGCCGTGAAGATGTTCTGATAAACCAGCTTGGTGAAGCCCCTTTTATCTTCATTAGAGTATCCTGACCCATGGATGATTCTCGTCTGCTTGATAAATGTACTCTTGCCACTCTCTCCTGTCCTGAGCAGCAGCAGCTTGAGCTCCCGGCTGGCGACCCGCTTGTCCCTGCGGAGCTGCCGCTCGATCTGGTCGTTGATCCGCCGGGCTTCCTTGGCCTCCTCGCTCAGGCAGCACGCCATGATGGACTCCAGAGTCATTCTTCCAACGTGCATCCGCTGCAGCCCTGCCGGGACCCCCGGCTCACAGCGCGCACACACACCCTCCCGCCCTCGCTCCCCCGTAGCAGCGGTGGCCACCGAGCCCAGCTGCCCGGGCGCGCATCCGGGATGAGCTCCGGGAACCGCCGCGGGGGCGGCGGCCACGGCCGGGGCCACCAGGTGGGCAGTGGGCGCCGCGGGAACGGATGGCCTGGGCCGACGGGAGAAGCGAGGCGGGCGCGGGAGGCAGGCGCTGGCTCGGGAGGCAGGCCCTGGTTCGGCGGGCGGGGGCGCGTGAGAGAAGGCCGCCGCTATCGGCGTCGCTCAGACGCCCTCGCCTCTTTCCCCGGGAACTGGCGGCCAGCCTCGCCCCACTAGCCGCCGCCGCCGCCAGCGAGGCTCCCCTACGCCGTGTGCCTGGGCGAGAGCTCATCCATTGGGATGTCCCCGCAGCGAGCGGCCGCCGACTGCTCCCCGCGCCGGACGCGCCGGCTCCTCGCTGCCGCCTGACCGGGCTCCCGGGCGCCCTAGGCCCTGTTCGCGCCCACTGCCCGACTTGTTCGCAGACTCTGTTCCCCTGATTTGGGGTTCTTAGTGCTCAGTTTTAACATTTCTCATTCCCATGTACAAGGTGAGGGTTAAAGTTTGATTTTTTGGGTTGCTCAAATACTGTCCCAAGAGAAAATTCTGTGTATAAATGGCGTATTAAAGCAATGCTTCCGGCAGAAAGGGGCAATGGAGTTTGGGATGGAGGAAGGAAAGGCAAATTACTCAAACTGTGTGATTCCATGCACAGAATCCTGTGTTTAGCAGCTCACACCATGCACTTGGAGGGGGATAAGGAGGCTGGGTTCTCCTGCGGCCTTGAAAGGGACTCTCAGGACAGCAGTAGTGGGAACAGAGCAGAGTTCAGAGAGCAAACAGGCCATGGGGACCAGAAGGGCCTGGCAGGGTGGCAGCCCATGGGACACAGAGGTAAGACCAGACAGAGGTGACAGCGGCTTCTGAAGAGAACAGATAGGAAAGAGAAAAGCAGTGGGGGAAGGAGCTGTCATCATAGGCAGGGAAATAAGGAGCGAGTGCAGCTAACAGCCATAGATGTGATTACCTTTGTACCCTAAGCTTGCAGGCCAGGGAATCTGCATGCCAGTCTCCACTTGCTGAACGGCAGTTTTCTTTTGATCATCTTTGGCCTTAGGACACTTGAGGCATGAATGTGGCCAATGACTTGATGCCCATGTGTGTTGTCAGCTGAGCCTTCAAGAGCATCACCTTCCAGCTGGGGAGGGTTCTTCATTCCAAGGGAAGGCTCTAAACCCAGTTCTGAAAATGAAACCACACCCAACAGCGTTCACTGTCATCCATGATCTTACTGTGACTTTCTCTTCCACCCAAGAGGAACATCAGAGAAGGAAAGTGGCCTTGGACAAGAAAGTCCAAGGGGTAAAGGGAAGCCAGGAAAGACATTTTGGTATTTTCTGCATTGTTGATTTTTCATGCATCACCCATTAATGACAAGATTGCCAGGAGGAAAAGGTGATCCCAACTGACAAACATATTTTAAAAACTTAGGATTAATAAACACAAATAACTTCCAGGTAGACAAGGCAAAGGCAAGGAAATCACACTGGATACAGGCTGTGTTCTGGGAGGGAGGAGATTCTAAAAATCAACATTAAATGAACATGTGAGAGAGGAGAATTGGATGCACTAAACATGGGATATTGATGAAATGATCATACAGATAGGTATAATGCATATATCTACATTTTATTAAAAACGTATGCCAAATATGCATAATGTATATGACAAATGACATAAATACATATATATAAAAATCTATTGGAAGAAATTACATAGGAATGTGGAAGATGTTGAATTAACATTATAGTCACTACCATTATAATCTGGTCCATTGAAATTGGAAAAAAATTTAGAAAAATAAGATGAATGAGAGAGGAAAGACATGGTGAAAAACAAATGCCCTATTAGACAGCAGGGAGAAGTCACCAGGTAAAGGAGAATGAAACAAAAGGCATTCACTCTGTCCTCTTGCCTGAGCCGGTTAGTGCTCTGGACTCCTGGGGAAGCCAGCAGGTGAGAGTGTTAGAGCCAGCGGGGTGAGTCCTGACTGGGGGTGTGGGAATCCATAAAGAAGCAAAAGAGACATCAGTGGAAAGAAATCAGTTTAAATACTTGAAGTTATGAGGGCATGTGTCAGGGACTACGCATCCCCCGACACTCACTGAGCGTCTTCCGTGTGTCCTCTCCAGGGATCCAGATGGTGCTCGTTACATCACGTGACCCTCCCTCCTGAGGACATGGGTCTCCTTATTCCTCAGCTGGGGGCATCACTTGACACATGAGCATCAGGCAGCCCCAGGGGCTCCAGGAGTAGACATTGAGTGGGACGGAGAGTAAGGATGAACACGACCCAGGGTTTTAAGGAAATCTGAGCAGAAGTGGATCCCTGTGAGAAGAAAATGGAGGACATGGCCGTGGACATGAGTGGAGATGATGAACTAAATGGAGTGTCATAAAAGAGACAGATTTATACACTTTCAATGAGAAGGTTGCCCTTTTATTCTTTTATTTCAAAACAAGGGGAGAAAACATAGCAAGAAGCAGGAGACTCACTTATGGGCCCAGGATTTGCACTTTTACTGAATGTGCCTAATAGGTTGTTACTGAAAATGCTCGATAGGGGAAAATTGACTTAAAAAGGGATGCTGACGGAGAGGAAGAAAACTGGCAAAAGAGACTTTCTAAGAAAACACAGGCAGGAGGTCCCTAGAAAGTAGAAATCCTAACAGTTACTCCTTCTCAGATGAAACTGCATGTGAAGTCACTTCCTAAGTGCTAATTTACCAGAAAGGTAACAGAATTAGATAACATGTATTCATAGATTGAGTAATTTTTATTGAATTAGCCATTTGGAAATTATCATAATTAATGCTATCAACAATGATTGAATGTAGATATTATTTTTCAGGTCTCTCAGATGACAGAACTGAGATGTAAATGCCAACACCACAAATGACTTGGCCGAGGTGAATAATGAGTAAGGGTTAAACCCAGGACCTGAGAGCAGATTTGATCCTAAACCCCAGGCTCTTGCTCACTCACTGGGCTGCAACATTGTGGATTTCTACTTGACTCTGAGGGAGCATGAAGAGACCCCATGGCCTCCTCCCCTCACAGCACCATGACCACCAGCACCCGGATTAGAGCTTCCTGGTCCCCTTTCCTTCCCTACCTTGGAAGGGCCATTGCTTCCCAGGATCAGCGTTGGCTGTGAAGCTGCAGGTGGTGGAGGAAACGCTTGGCCTGGCTAAGCCATAGCCACAGTCAAACCCTTGATCCAACTGCAGTCGCAGACAATTGGGCACCAGGGTTCTCAGCCCTGGCTGTGCCTGTGAAGCCTGCACCTCTGACAGGTGGTGGCTCAAGTCTCCACTCCAAGGTCTGTGGGGACAGGCCACCTGGGTGGGAGCTGAAAGGAGAAGGGGTTTCAGTAGGAACGCTCTCACTTTTCCCTTTGTTAATCATGCCCAGAACACCCATCTCTGGTGTCCCTGCCTCTGAGGTGAGCCACCCAGTGGCCCAGGCCACAAAGACAGACATCATGTAAATGGGGTGATGTCACTTCCTGTCTGTGCCCGGGGATGCTGAGATGGAAGGTACCCAGGGCTGGATGTCACTGAAGTGAAAAACCCCCACTTCAGCCCAGACGGCTTTGGATTGGCTAACAAGGCCATGCCGATTATTCTGTTATTATTAATCTCCATCCTGCAGCCTAGAAAGAATGTTCTGGAGAGCCTTCAGAGCATAGGAAATGCTGTTTTTCTCAACACACAGGAGTATAAGAACGAGGAGGACTCAGAGCCTCTAGGTTTTGGGATGGAACCACAGAAAAGGGTTTTGGGACACTGTAGACCAGCAGTCTCCAAACTTTTGTGCCCCAGGGACTGGTTTTGTGGAAGACAATTTTTCCTTGGTCCAGGGGTGGGGGATGTGAAAAGAGGGAAGGATCATTTCTGAATGAAACTGTTCCACCTCAGCTCATCAGACATTAATTAGGTTCTCATAAGGAGCGCACAATCTAGATCCCTTTCATGCACAGTTCACAATAGGGTTTGTACTTCTATGAGAATCTAATGCCACCGCTGATCTGACAGGAGGCGGGGCTCAGGCTGGAATGCTCACTTGCTGGCTGCTCATATTCTGCTGTGTGGCCTGGTGCCTAACAGGCCCAGGACAGGTAGCTGACCACAGCCCCGGGAGCTTGGGCCCCCCTGCAATAGACCAAATACTACATAAGGTGAACATTTTAGGGTGCTGGAACATTTTGAATTTCCATTGCCTATAATGGTTTTACCACCTACTCACACATATACATCTTGTTGCCATATAGGTGGGTGTCTGCAGCCATAAGCAATGTTGTAGAGGGACCAGTCCCCTCACAGACACTTAGGGGCCACAGGTATCACCGATCAGCGTGTGTGGTTCTGTAGGGAGGTAACACCGAGCACAGTCCTCATCTTACCCACTCCTCCAGTGGGGTCCGGGCAGCACCCCTCATAAAAATTATCGCTATTTCCACAGGAAGAGGAAATCACACTCCCAGAAAGTGGACTAAATGCATTGTGATTTGCAGTGGTTTTCTTTTTCTTTTTTTTTTTCCAAAACCGAATCGCGCTCTGTCGCCCAGGTTGGAGTGCAGTGGCGCCATCTCGGCTCACTGCAACGTGATTCTCCTGCCTCAGCCTCCCAAATACCTGGGATTACACAGACGCACCGCTCCTCCAGTTAATTTTTGTAGTTTTTTTAGTAGAGATGGGGTTTCACCATGTTGGCCAGGGTGGTCTCAAACTCCTGACCTCAGGTAATCTCTCTGCCTTGGCCTTCGACGTGCTGGGATTACAAGCGTGAGCCACCGCGCCCGATGGCTTTTTAAGATGTTTGGAAGAGTTCAGCTGTGAGGCCATTTGGTCTTGGGCTTCTGTTTGTTGGGAGGT